GGTCGCCGTTGCAACTGTTGAAGATTATGTTTCATTTAGACATAAAGTAAATGGGAGCTGGTTCATTCAGTCATTGTGCCAGCAGCTAAAAGAGGGATGTTCAAGGTAATTCTACCATAATATATTCATTTGTATATTTTATATTCATATGTAATAAACAATAATGGTGGTCGTGTGTGTTTTTTAGGGGTGATGACATTCATTCCATTCTCCAGCGGGTCAACGATGAAGTAAGCCAGAAGGAGGGAAATCCAGATAAGCCAGGAAAAATTAAGCAAATGCCAGAGGTTCATTACACTTTGACAAAGAAATTAATCCTGTCAGCATATCACAGTTGAAAAAAATATTGTTTTATTGTAGTAGCTAAGTAAAATGTATCTTTTTAATGTAACAGCCTGTACATTTACAACCGGCTGTAAATAAACTGTTCCTTTTAGGTCTATATATGTTCCTCTAGAATTTATTTCACTGCATTTAGTATTTTTAGAACTACCATTACCAGTATATCTTGTGAATCAATAAAGTTTGTCTGAATCTAACCAAAATATGTATATGGATTAAGTTCTCAAAATTTTGCATCTGAAATACATTCATTTCAATGCAATTCATCTGCAATAGGCCTACACAATGTCTGCGCATTTTCCACTTTTCTTAATGCACATTAATGGAGTATTACGGTAAAACGGCGTCGTTGTCAAGACAACCGCGCTTGCCCTGCTGGTGAAGGGACTGCTCTGTCAAGTGGCACTTAATCCTCGCTTTACCTCCATACCAACAAATGTATTGTTGTATAACAAGCGGAAGTGGATCTCATATATTTTAGTCCCGTGTTAAAATGGAAAACTACTCCCCTGACGGATATTCAGCGGGCCTCGAAGGACCACATCACGAAGAGGTCATAAGCGCTTCAAACGAAGCTGTTGCCTTCATGGGCAACATTGGTGAGTGAAATGGAGGAAACAGCGAGTCGGGCTCTTTCAGATTTTCCCCCCACAGATGCTGACCTATTACGTGTTTTTCTTATTTTCAGTGTAATAGGCTAGTTCTCTTTTCCATTAAATTGTACATGTCTAGTATTAGATTTTAGGATATAGCATTGCGTCCTATCCACTTAGTTAATTAGGCCTACTCTTTAAAAGTTTATTTGGCTTCAGAAGTTTTGGGCAGTGATATTAGACTTAACATTAATCATTGACAGTCTGTTGTTGTTATATTGTACATCCTCAGATCCCGAAGAGCTGCAAAGGTGTGTCTTCACTGATTACCTGGTTAGCCTGTCGGAAAGTGGACGAAACCTGGGGAAATTCACTGTGTGTGTGGAACTTGCCTGCAAAGCCCAGCAGCCCTGCATGCTAGTGCATGCACAAAGCCAAGGGGCCATTGAAGAGTCCCCTTGTGGGACCACAGTAACAGGTGAAGTCTGCATCAGCTGTCAGAACAAAATTCACCATAGCCTTTACATATTTTAAACCTTTTGTCTTTATTTCTCTTTTAAGCTTATGTTACATGTGACCTGGAGGTGCTGGAGGAAGATTATTATGAGTATATGAAGGTGGGACAAAATGTAGCCTCTCTAATCATGAAAGATAGATTAAATTGATTGATTAGTTTATTTTTTGCTCACATAAGAACTGTATAAAATACTTGTATGTTTTAATGTTCAGCTTGAGGGCCGCAGTTTGGAGAAAAGATGTCACATAGCCCAGCGTGATGGTAATATTCTCATCACTAAAGTTACAACAGAAGGACAGGTAAGACTTTATTTTGAATGCATGTCACCTTTTCATACAATTACATGTGTGTTCCTTTGTTTTTGTTGCAGGAGGTGAAAGAGCAAAGTGCTGCTTTTCCCTTGTCTGTGACCAGGGGTCTCGTAACCGAAGGATCCCACTTACTGCTGATGCGTCTTTTTGCTCTCAAGGAGAAAGTGCCAGAAAACATGATTTTCATTTCCATTGACCAAAATTTACACATCATCAGTACCACATTTGTATGTAGCATTTATTTCACAGCATTTTCCCCAGTGGTTATTTACAGACTTTCATTATTAGTGACCTACTGTCTATTTCTTGTTTCAGTAGCATACATCTAATCATATTTATTTTGCACATTAGTGCTTATCAGTGATGGAAAGAATGCTTTGAAAATGTATTTAGTTACATAATACTGAATACATGTATTCAAATAAAATTACAATAACATATTCTGACACATGGGCCCATTCGAGTACTGTATTCTGAATACTTTGAATAGTTTTATTTTGAGTTGCATTTACGTTATAGTGTAAAGATGCAACATAGGATTAAAAACATTTCCTATTACTCATTAGAGATGAGAAAATCGCACACGCACTCATCACAGAGTTTCTCACTGATTATGTGCATTTTAAAGCCTAAATTAGAAAGTACTAAGTAAGAGCAGTACATGTATTCAGTTACTTCCCAATTCTTGTGTAGTTTGTGTGATGGTTCTGTAATTCGTTAACGTCAGCGTTATTCTGACATGATTTTGCTAATACTCCAGAAAGAGCTGGGTGTGGAGAAGGAGGAGATTGGTGGAGAGAGTGTGGAGGTATTTGGTATAAAGAGGGCCCTCCTATTTTCAGAGGACTGTCCCCAAACATGGCAATGCTACTTCCTGCCTGATGGGTAAGTGTAATCAACAAGCAAAGCACATGCAAATTCCGCTGTGATGTTTAGCTATCAGACATTTGCTATTTAGGCATATGGTCAGCAGAATGCAGCTGGGGTCTCCAGTGGCTGTGAAGATTTTGGAGCTTCCATCACATCAGGAGAAAGGTGCCCACAAACTCACTGCTACATGAAATGTATGAACAAGCTGGTTATATAGTATTTATATGTTTAATAGTGGTCAAGATTGAGACAAAGTCCCTTTCCTGGGAGGAAGACATGCAGATGCGATCCAAGTTTCTGGATAGAAAGGTAGTATTCTTACATAATACTTTGTAGAATAATGGGGAGACTTGCCAACATAGTGACATTTTCTCTGGGACAGGAGGAGTTAAAGGTGGACCATGCCTCCTATCTGAGACGTCATCCAGAGATCCAAGCTCTAATATCTGACTTTCTGCAGTTTCTGCTTCTGAGAAAACCAGATGATGTGTTTCAGTTTGCCAGAGAGTACTTCCTCCCATTCTCCTGCCATCAAGCTCAAAGTGAAAGCACTCAAGCTGTGGAGCCTTTGATATAAAAATAATTGATCTAAAATTATTCATGACACCATGACTGTGATAATAGACTACATTCTTATTTTCTGATGTCCTAAATGAACAGTAAGAGCTGTGCACTAAATGTTTGGTTACTTAGAGACTATTGTTAAACAATCATATTGTTTCGTTTTTATTTGTCTGTTTGTTTTTTACTATATTTGGGCACTTATCGTTTTATGATTCAAATTTGAAAGTGAAAACAGAAGGCTAGAGGAAAATATTAAACAAAACCTTTGACGCTGCTCAGCCACTTGATGGTGCCAAATTTCTTTACGTGAACTAATTACATTTGTACTTGGTTAGAAATTTTTAAATAAAATCGTATTTAGTAAGCCATATATTTTCTGAATTTGAAATAAATTACCATTGAATGCAAGGATCAATGAAAATTCTGTACATTTAGTCCATGAATCTGATTTAGTCATGACAGTTCCATGAGGATTGTTTTTTCGCGGAAGTGACAGTTTTGTGTTTCCTGTGAAAATGAAACTATTTACCAGGTGACACGGAAAGTTTTACCGCTTTTGTAACAAAGTTATGTTGTCTTAAATTAGTGTAATTAGTGTCAGCACCTGTAATGCTGTGGGTTTATCCATATCAAAAGAGGGGAAAGCTTCGTTCGATATTTTACGAGACTAAGGAGTGGTAAGTTTAGACCATACTCTAAATTGTTCAACTTGTCTTATTATGATGGCATCTAAAATTTCGGCTACGGGTTTGCGTGTAATAAATGTGTGAAAGTGTACTATACTGTAGATGAGTTGTTTTTTTTCTTTAGGTGTCTTCTTTTATATGTAGTTATTATTCCTTGACCTGTCATTGAGTTCGTCTTTTCCACGATACGAGGAAATAGCTGAGGAAAAGTCAGTTTACTGGAAGAATTGGTTAGGCGATTTATTAACTTCAAGTTAAATTATAGTTTATTCATGGAGTTGCCTATACAGCTCTACAATTACAAGTCTTGTTTGTAGGTCTTCTTATGTCAAGTAGCCTAACTGTAATCCCCAAAATTACTCTACACCAGTATTCGACCAGTATTTAGGGAAGACACCAAAAGTACTCAGTTTGGGCTTAAAATATGATGTTTTAGAATGACACAACATAAATAAAATAATGCACACAATTCAAGTAGCCTATGTCCAAAGAATAAACTACAAAAATAGCCTATCTAATCTTTTATAATATAATAAAATGTCACTCTAAAGCTTTTATAGCTATTGGATTTTATTGATGCAAATGGTAAAAGGTAGAATGTACTTCTCTTGTGTTATTTTACGTGTGCCTCTCCATAGGAATCAATGGACAGGCTTACTTTGTCCAAAATAGACGAAGAGCTGGAGTCATCAGAGGTAGCTGCCCTGCGCTTTCTGTGCCTGGATGTTGTCAACAGAAAACGACTGGAAACTGTAAGTTTAGGAGTACTTCCAATTTATTTAAAGGATATTCATTCATTTATTTACAACAGAAATGTATGTGTTGCTTGTAACAGGTCACAGATGCTAAAGGGCTTTTTATGAGGCTCCAGGAAAAGGGTCTCCTGGAAAATTATGGTTTCCTTTGTCAGCTGCTCCAAACCATCGGCCGAAATGATCTTGTCAACAACTTCTTAAGGACAGGTTACAGTCAGTGTACAGAAGCAGATGCTAATCCTATGCTGTCACATTACAGGTATTACAATTGGTTTGACTACTAAACTGAGCTGTTCTTTGTTGATTTTTTTCATTGATGTTTCTGCCAGGGTGATGCTGTATCAAATATACGAGGACATTACTAAAGAAAACCTTGAGAAGATGAAGTTTTTATTAGAAGACAAGTTAGGCAAGGGACAAGCAGAGAAGTGTAATGTAAGAAGACACGTAAATCTTTAGTCTTTAATATCAATATGGCCTATTAAAGAAATTTGAACAATAGTATCAAAAATAACTTGGTTTTCCACTACAAATTGATGCTGTGTATTGTGTATTGTATATTTTAATTAATTTAAATTAGTTTTCTTTCTCCTGACAGACAGCCTTGGATGTGTTTGCTGAAATGGAAAAGAAAGGCCTACTGTCAAACACAAACTTGAATGAACTTTTAAATGTTTTACATGAAGTAGATGTCGAGATAGCACAAAGTAAGTGTCACAGAGCTTTAAAATACTTGTTAATTAAAATATTTGTAACTGTCTAATTTTACTGTATTTGTAGGACTACAGTCACAGTCCTACATGAATTACCAGGTGTGTTATATTATACAATGGCTTTTTTATAAAAAATTTTTATTCATGTATGTAGATGATGTAGACATTTTACCTTGTTTTGCTTCTTTCAGAACACATTACCTCACAGAATTCAACCTAGTCTGTCAGTAACAGAGACTCAACCAAGCTGTATGTTCCCCTGTTCTTGATATTTCACTCTACACCCAATTAACAGCTGCTAAACTTTTTTGTATTTTTTTGTAGCTGGCACTGGCAGTTGTGTTTTCTCTGACGCTGATACAACAAAGTCCTTCTCTTCAGTTGATGAAGTAAGTGCATCAATAGTTCCAAAGTCTTAGCACATATCACATTGTATACATCATGTTAACAGTGTTCTTATCATTATATGTGGTTGACTTAGACGGAGTACTACCTTTTCACTCATGATCCCCGTGGTTTGTGTCTGGTCATCAATAATGAGACATTTTATGGCAACCTTAAAAATAGAGCTGGTAGTCACGAGGATGCAAGTATGTTAAAAAAAAATATATATATATATATATATATATATATATATATATTTTTTTTTTTTTTTTTTTTTTTTTTTTTTTTACTAATTAGTAATGTATGAATGAAGACACATGTTATTTCATTTCCCTCAGGAGCTCTCTATGAAACATTCACCTCTCTTGGTTTCCTGGTTGATATTCACAAAGATCTAAGTAGTGTTCAAATGACGGACTTATTAAGATCAACAGGCATGAGGAACTTCTATAATGACGACGCCTTGGTAGGTAGATGTGGCGTAACCATATTACAAGCTAGTGTGCTTTGTGTCAGAGTACAATAAATACAAGACAAGACTATGTGTGGATTCATACTTTTTGTTTTGGTCTTAGTTTTAGCATAGTTTGAGTCTAAATCTATTTTTGCTTTGGTCCTTCAGTAGTGCTGGTTTAGTCTAAGATTTAGTTCTGGTTTTAGTCCCATAGCCCAATTTTGATGTGGTGATTTTGCAAGACAAGTGTGAATGCACCCTAAAAAAGATTAATTGCTAATGAATTGAAGTTCCTTGTGGTTTTAGGTGGTGTGTGTGCTGTCTCATGGAGAATATGGCTGTGTATATGGTACAGATGAGAAGACAGTTTCCCTTCGAGAATTGACGCAGCCCTTCAATAGCCACCAAGCACCTTCCCTGGCAGGAAAGCCCAAACTTTTCTTCATTCAAGCTTGTCAGGGGAACAGGTACCAAACAGGATCTCTGCCCTCTATCCAAAAGTCAGAGGATGTGAAAGAACCAAAAGGCTTGGAGGCAGATGCAGGCCCAGTGCAAGGAGAGACGGTGCCCTCTGATGCAGACTTTTTGCTCGGTATGTCCACCGTGCCAGAGTGCAAGTCCTTCAGAAGCACCACTACAGGATCCATCTACATCCAGGAGCTATGCAAGCAAATCAACACATCTGCAAAGAGGTCATTCATTTTATTTTCTATAAAACACTGGGCAAATATTGAAATGATTTTCTCAAACAATGTTTTGTCTTTCTTGCAGTGTGGAGATGGATGATATTCTCACTATTTTAACAAGAGTAAACCGTAACGTCAGCAAAGGTGTTTATTTGAATTATAAACAAATGCCAGAACCCAAATACACGCTCACTAAAAAAGTAGTTTTCAAGTGTCTGTGAGGGAAAAGTATGGCCAGCTTCATGAAATCATTACACTTTACCCCCAGTGCTCCACAGAAAATAAGCCAATTATGTATTTGATGTGCTTTTTCTTTGTTATTCTGCCTAATAAAAGGCTAAATGGTGTAACATTCAATGGTGTAACTGTCTGATTGTAATCACTAATTAGGCTATGTGTAAAACAAACCCATCATGCGTAGACAAACTTCACCTATAAAACTATCCATGGCTTTCAGAATTATGAAAAATGTAGCTATGTTCTTTATTTTGAATTGATACGTGAAATTCTCAGTCCTCAAAATGTTTATTATTTATATAAATTATCTCTAGAAGTTATTGCTGAACTGCAAATGCTCATGTAGGCTACAGGAAACGCAAAAACAGGAAACTGGTTACATGAATGGTGTTCGGTTACAGTGAGTTAATGTAATTAACGTTACATTTATTGTCATCTAATCAAATAAAACTATGACAAAAATACATTTAAAGGAACAAACTACAAGCGTCTGTAAGATTTCATGTTTAGTAATTGCAACAGTTGTCATTTGAAATGTTAAAAAAAAATCTTGGCTAACTCCTAACTTTTGTTAGAAATTGCAGATAAAGACCAAATATTAATGTACAGAAATAATTACAAATTTAAAATATAAATGAATTTATTGATGTGTTGGCCTTGCTAAATTAACTTAACCTACATCAAAATGAGTCAGCTTCACTATCAACCTGCAGCAGGCCTGTGATGTTACCAGAGGAGGCCGCCTTCATTCACATTGACGTTACACATTACACATTCACTCTGCGCAGACATTCTGCTGCTGCTGTTGTTGGTGCTGGTGGATTCCAGCGTACTCCACCCTGCTGTTGCTCGCCATTCTTGCCTACTGCAAGACACGCGGAAACGACACAAACACTACTTTAACACAAGAATACATTTTATTTCCACACTCTTAATTGGATTTAAAACACTTCTAACTTCGCGCGGGAGTAGACCAGCACAAGTTTTACGGTAAGCTAAGTGAAGCTACGTTTATCGTTTGATTTTCAAACACGTTTAAGGAGACCGAAATACCGCATTATATCGATATTTTAAATCTTAAATGTTGAATAATCTTTGACTTGTTCACGTGCTGCTGACGTGTGAGGCGTAGGACTCACCTGAATAGGCTTTTTTGTGCACTGTGATCTGTGAACACTGAACAGGGTTTTCTGTAGAGGTGGGTAGTTAGTGAGTAGCCCAGAATTGTCCTGAAGTAACTCTTTCCTCAAAGTAAGACAGAAGTTTAAAATAGTCTTATCTAGTTAGCAACATAAAGCTTTTGCCACCACACTCTCATGGTGGAGACCAAGGTAGCCAACGTACTTAATACAACTGTACTTTTTAAGTACGAAATATTCCATAATACCACATTTGATAACAATACATAAAACTGCTATACGTACTGGCAGTACTGGCATAAGACAGCAGCTTTGGTTTTTTCTCTCCTCATTATATTTGGACCCTATGTAATCCCCCTAAATTGATAGGTAAAGCCATAGTCAGTCAGATTATCCAAGGCTTATTTTGACTGGTTACAAACCCCTATAACTGGTTTCTGTGGTATTATTCAAACGGCTGACTCATCTGGAGACAATTGAGAAACTTGCTGTTATCACCCTAGTCACAACAAACCACCTGACAGTAACTTAAGAGCAGCCTTGGGACAGCGGTTTTATAAAAGTGTCTTGACTGCGTCAAAATGGATACTTCACGAACTGTCCCACAATCTGTGGCAGATTTTTTCCATAAAGCTCACTGCCCTGTTACTGGGAGCACTCATTGTGATGTAATGGCATGACAAGGTGGAGCCAGCTCAAGCTGTTGTGCTAGAGCGCCTCTCCCTAAACTTCCAGTGATTACACAGCCCTGCTAAGCAAAACTGTCCTGATTCATATCAGATCACGTTATTATGTGTGAAAGTTAATCTTTTACTTTGAAATTATACATACATTTATGACTAAATGTTTGTTTGAACAAAATATTTTAGAAAAAATGAAACACTTGGGCTCTTGCTTCCCTCTTCACAGGTCATGTCCTCAAATTATCCTCCAGGATATGATGACCCAAACAAACCACTGAATCCTCAAGGTGGAAGTTACCCTGCACCCCCACCCTATGGCTTCCCATCCTATGGTGGTCCTCAGCCCAATGCACCTTACCCCCCTGGCCCCAACGCTCACATGTACCCAGGGCCTGGAGGGTACCCACCGGGCCCTTACCCAGGACAGCCTCATGCTGGTGGACCACCTCCCATGCCACCTGTGATGCCACCCACCATCCCTGCAGATGTATTAGAGTCTGGTAATGGTAAGTTCTCATAGATAAACTTGATGGTAGACTGAAAACATTATTTTTTACGTGTTTACGTTGCATCTTAATATTAATTTTAGTACTAATCTCTTTTTACTGGTGCAGCTGATGGCTTTGCAGCAAGTGATGGTGCATGGGACACTGTGAGCCTTCGACATGCCTTCATCAGGAAGGTAAAGAGTCGTAATTATGTCTTTGATTTACTGTGATGCACAGAGTTAAAAACATTTACACATTTACCAGTTAAACTGAACTCCATTCCACACAGTCCATTTATACATTTAGTGTTGTTACCAAGTAAAATGGCAAAAAAAGATTAAGTATACAAAATTGTTATCTTTTATCTTACAAAAACAAAAACTATGGACTATGAAGTTTGACAGAGTAAATGTCTAAATAAAAGCTTTAATAATTTCTATTTAAATCATAAATTACTGAAAAATATTCCATATAGGACTTATAAAAAATGGGAAGACCGTTTTGATCAACCCATTCCATGGAAAAAAGTGTTCCAATTAACTTATCAAACCTCTATAGATTCACAGAATACATTTTTTCAAATTAAAATAGTTTATAACTTTTTACCTACAAAGAAGATGCTCAAAATACGGGGTCTTGAGGAATCTGAATTGTGTTGTTTTTCTTCTAAGGAAGTAGAATATATTGAGCATTTCTTTTGGTATTGTCATGTTGTTGGTGCTTTTTGGGATGAAATACAAAAAATAATTTGTAATATTAATGATGGTTTTGAGCTGTGCCCCCTGTCACTATTATTGGGTTTTGTGGGAGAAACAAAGTATAGGGATATGGTAAACTTCATTATTATTCTGGGAAAGAAATTTATTTTTAAGGCGAAAAATGCTGAATCTATAAATACTGTTTCATCAAAAACGGTGGGTAAAAATGCCCCTTTTCATAGTGCCATAACTTTTGTGTATTCAAATTTATATATGTCTGTGTGCATGTGTGTATGTGCACGTGTATGTATATGGATATGAAATATAGGTATGTTAATACATGTTGATGTCTATGAGTGTGTAGGTGTGTGTGTGCGTGTGTGTGTGTGTGTATACACACACATATACACATATATGTAATGTGTGAATGTATAAGTATGTGTAATGTAATTGTAATGTATTGTTATTGTCCTTGTCATGATTGTATACCTGTGTGTGTATACTAAAAAACGTCAGTGTCTAAACTACACTTCAGATCATGCATTTTGGCTGATACAAGTACCCTTCATTTTTAGGTATCATTACTACTTTGTTTCATTTTAATAATCATTATAACTTGTTGCATTTGTTTGCAGGTCTACATGATTCTGGCTGCTCAACTTACTGTCACAGCTGCCATTGTGGCTGTTTTCACATTTGTGTGAGTGTCTGTAGAATAACTCAATAATTAAATGTATCAGTGCTAGTGTTTGACTTTTGACTTGACTTTGACACCTTTTTTTTTTTAGTGAGTCCGTCCGGGACTTTGTTCAAAAAAACCAAGCACTCTACTGGGCATCATAGTAAGAATTACTCTTATATTGTAGTTCAAATCAAATGCATTGAGTTGGTATGAATTGATGTACCTCTGCTCATCAGTGCCGTGTACTTCGTCACCCACCTGGTGTTGGTGTGCTGCACAGGGCCCAGGTAAGCTGTAGCATAATGATCATTACTAAACATGAAACACTCAATAATGAGACTGAATCTGACTGCGTTTTAGGAGGAAACATCCATGGAACTTGATTCTTCTGCTTGTCTTTGTGAGTGTCCTTATCCACGCTTAATTGTATGGACAATATCAAACACTGTTCATTAAGAAATACCTCCTGTCATAGGTTAAACTTCTTAAAGAAAGCTATTAAATTTGTCCCTTGGTCATGATTTTCATACATCAAACAAGGTCTCCAGTCTATTAAAATGGTTTGAGTTTTCACCAAGCCCACTCCTTTTTTTTTTAAATTTCAGACTTTGGCCTTGTCCTACATGACAGGAACCATATCTAGGTAAGAGTTAACAGTTGAGTTTCACCAAACTTTTGTCTTGTTGCTCCTTGCATTTGCACCTCTACAAGAATTTTGGTGTGCATTTTCTGTTTCTTTTGAACAGTTGAGTTTCAACCTTTAAAAGACATTTTTATAATTCCTCTGCTTGTGTTCTTTAGTTTCTATAGCACAAAAGCTGTGTTTCTGGCTGTAGGCATCACCGCTGTGGTCTGCATTGCTGTCACAGTCTTCTGTTTCCAGACCAAGGTAGAAAAGGCATGAATATTTGATCTTTATCAAACTGCTCCAAGTTGGTCATGTGAATGTTTATAAAGCAAATCTGATTTCACCTTAAGGTTGACTTCACAAAGTGCCAGGGCCTGTTCTGTGTCCTTGGGATCGTAATGTTTGTGACTGGCATAATCACCGTCATCGTGCTGTCATTCAAATATGTAAGTGCAATTCTATTCAATTCATGCAATTTCTATTGGTGTTTTTTAAGGTTGAGCTAAAATCTGTACTCATGTTTTTTTTCCTTTATCAGATCTACTGGCTACATATGGTCTATGCCGCCATGGGAGCCATAGTCTTTACTATGGTATGTCTATTTAAGCGTATTTAAATTTCCTGTCACTCAACAAAATCACACATTTTTACAATGTATCTTTCTTGCCTCTGTCTTGTAGTTCCTGGCTTACCACACACAGTTGTTAATTGGCAACAGGAAGTATTCTATTGGCCCAGATGAGTATATTTTTGCTGCTCTCTCCATCTATGTGGATGTAATCCAGATCTTCCTTTTCTTACTGCAAATTATTGGTTCCTCAAACAGATAAAAGTATTACTGGTAGAGATACATTGGCTGCTTCTAAACTATTCCATGCTTTAAGTTTATAATCAAGTTACATTAATAACTTTATTGTACCAGTCACTATAAAAGGTTGTAGTATAAAATAGAGTAACTACAGCAGATATGTATCATTAATAGCTTAACTCTAGTTTGAGGCAGAGGATGATGGTAAACTATAACTGATCATGTTTTAAGCCAATGAAGTCTTAAATTGATGTAATTGCTCTTTATTACTTTACGGTTTTCAGCACTATTTTGCTACTCTTAATGCTAACATATACAACATTTTCATATAATTTTGTGCCATATGTAAAATAGTCAGTCATGTTAGTTATTTGTCTCAGAATTTTGTTCTACTGGGTCTTTTTGTGGCTTAATCCAACATTGTATTTCCACAAACAACTTACCCATTTTAGATATGAATTTGAATGTAAAATTGGCATAAGCCTTTTGCTGTATTAAATTCTGATTTGTGTAGAACATGTGTATATATATTACATAAAGACTAATAAAGTTGGATTTTCTCAACATACTTTATTTTAGATTGTATTATTAACTATGCACAGTATTTACATTATACATGTAGTCCCCCTCCATTTTAACTTCCAGTGTGCCGCTGGTATCGACTCCCATCAAACTCGCCTTCATTCGACTGCCTCATCCTCTGACGGATCTTCAGTTGCTTCAGTCTGTTCTTGTCGACTTGTCTCTTAGCCAAAATGAAGGTGAGGATTCCAGTTGGGAGGCCGATCATCCTAGAAGTGGCACAGTAGTAAAGAGAAGTTGCAACTCTGTCACTATACTTAATGTGATGAATTTTAATGTAAGTTTAAATGAAAACAGAGGCCCTTTGAACATCTCAGTAAGTAACATATTGTCTTAAGAGTCAGTTAATTAATGCAGTGGTGTCTCTGTGCCTTTACTTTTGAAATGTTGCTTAGTCTGGGAGTAATTTAGGTCTGGTATAGTTAAAACAAATATTATGTAATAACTAAGGATGTAACAATAACCTAAATATTGTGATATCATATCGTCAAAGTTCTCACAATAATATCGTGGAGCATCACAATATAGGAAATTACAAGTCTCTTTGCTTAAATTAAGAGTTATGGTGCAGCAACAGCTACACAAAGACAGCAGGAACTACATAGACCATGATCCTTTGCTCGATTTCAGTATAGACTATAATAGATAATACAAATAACAGTTCTAAGCACTTTTAAGTCTTAGTTCTTTGGATTAAATCTTGTCAAGGCATTTTAAGAGGAAAAAGTAGCATTTTTGTTAGCCTCCAGAAAATACTGCAATAAATATATACCAAGAGATTTGGATATTGTTACGTCCCTAATCGTGAGCCTCCCCACCATATCCTGAGCTTCCCCATGATATCGCTATAAATATTGTACCATGAGGTTCATACCGTGACGATATCTTATCATGAGACCTGGAAATCATTACACCCCTAGTAATAACTACAAAGAACCTAACCGCTAAAAACAATTGGTATCAGTGGTGGAAAGTAACGAAGTTCAAGTAAAGTAAAAATTTTAGGTAAATTTAGGTAATTTTAAAGTGGATACTTTGCTTTTATTTCACTTCCTCTGAGAGCAGGTATCTGTACTTTCTACTCCACTACATTTTGGAACAGGATTGAAAAGTTAATAATAATAATAATTATTATTATTATTATTATTGTTTGTTGTTGTTGTTTGACAGCTGCAGAAAAGTTTTAAGGTTTATTTTTTAGCACATTGATTTTGAATTTCAAATTAACTGTTTGAAATGAATTGTATGTATAGTGAGTGTGCTGATTTTATGTACTTTTGTGTGATTGTTGCTGTACTTTTCCCTGTCCTGTAGATGATTTTACATCAACCTGCCAAGGGACTGAAGATGGAAATTAGCCACGCTGCCAATAATCTTTACACATTTACATTTTAATTGACCATTAATATGAGCTGTCCCTTTACAAATAAATATAAGAATAAGAAACATTTGTAGTTTGAGCAAACAAAATTATACAAGTAAAAACAGCTAGAACAAAATGATTAAATTGTTTCTACTGAACAAAATTCATCACAAATCTGTATTAAAATGACTACATTTGAATACTTTTACAGTACTTTGTACACTTTAATACTTGTTACTTGAGTAGTTTTCGCTCCAGTATTTGTACTTTTACTTAAGGAACAAAATTGAGTACTTCTTACACCACTGCTCAGGATATATTTCATTTAACAAATAGAAATACAGAATACTAACCAGGCATATCCAATTTTCATCATTGGATTTTTGGCTTTTCTTTTGGGGATGTACTCGGGCCCTTCCTCCTCCTCCTCTTCGTGCACTGTGACCTTTGGGTTCTGCTTTGGAGGGGAGCTCTGCTGAACGGGTCTGGAGGAGCTGCACATAGAGGAGGCAGGAGGCACATCCAGAGGCCTCCTGTGAGCAGCTGATAACCCGGAACACAGGGCACTGTGCGTCAGCAAGGACCGTACAGGAGCAAAATGTACATCTGAAAAAAACGGAGGACTTTGTTGAATCATAAGCCACTTACACGGTTATGACCAATTTGCGCTTATCGTTCAAGTTGCTTAACTACCGACGCAGACACGCAGGCTCAAACATTTACTAACTTAACAGGCGTAAATATTCGTTATCGAAAGAACAATATTGGTGTCACAATGGACATTTACCGGTCACTTATTTACAATTTACCTTTCCATGATATCCGTGTTAACGCTGTCCTGAAGGCCGCCATGTTGATTAGACTACACATGCGCAATCCCCAATGTTTTGGATCAATACTGCCACGCAGTGGCTCATGAAAATATTTACAGTAACCGTTGCAAGACAAAAGTGGGAGGAATATTTTATTTCATCAAATACAGTGCTTCTTGCCATAATGTTACAAAGGAGCACACGAAACAAGAGCTTAAATGCCTCAAAAGGCCTATACAAAATTAGGCATTACAGTTTAGAAAAAGTAACATATTTACAAGTCTGACCCCTCTCAAAAACAAGATTTCCAGAATATTTGTGGCAGTCAAGGATTTTTATCAAAGTTCAAACATCTTTGATGCTACAGCTATGTATTACATATGAGTATTTGAAACCAATGAAGACATACATTGGACAATGTTCAGTTTAATCTTCAAGGATGTAATTGGGATTTACAACCAACACTGCCTCCTCTTCTGTGATTGCAGATTCTGACCCCTTCAGTCCAGACTGTGAAAGCTCAATAAGGATGTGATCCTGAAAAACACAGCACTTTAGATATAGCTCTTACAGTTTGGATGGTGGCAAATAAATACTTACATAGTGAACAAGTCGGTGAATGACCTTCTCTACAAGTGCCTTCTTATTTATCAGATCCTCCTCAGACTCAATATCTGCTTCAATCTCCTTCAAATACCAGTTCACCACAGCACTCTTCTTCAGCTCCTCCTCTTGCTCAACTGTATGGCCAGACAATCCAATTAAAAATATACATAAGCATAGAACAACAAAAACTGTCCAATCTCACACTCCTGACCTTCTTCGGCTTTGCGCAGATGCAGAACTAGGAGGTTGGAGATGCGTCTGTACTCAGTAAAGGACAGACGGAGGGAGGGTTTGAGCTGGCTGTCAGAGTGGCCGTTCACTCCATTCACGTGTCCATTGACCCCGTTGATGTGTCCATTCACTGCATCATGGCCATTGATGTCGTTCAACCCGTTTACTCCATCCCCACCATTTGCCACGTTTGCTATTAGTCAATTAGTACAATTAGGGGATGCAAGACTAATGGTAAAGTGCATTCACTGAAAATTGTGTGTACCTTCTTCATGCTGCTCCTCTTCCTCCATCTGTTCTTCATGCTCCAGATTTATATCAGGCGTTTCAACTCGAATAATGGACTTGTTCAGGAGACGAAAAGCTTCTTTTACATGTTTGGGCTGAACCTGAGGGCAAATATATGCATATAATAATTTTATAAAAAAGGCAATTAAATCTGTTCCCAGCATTAAACTACATACCTCATCACAGCAGTGCATGCGGGCCATAGACTCAGACAGGCGGATCATACTCTCCAGTTGGCGTACAGTGATCCTCCAGGCTGATTTGGACACGCCCCCAGAGCCATCCCGTTGGCGCAGACGTTTGTACTGCTCAACAATGAACTCTTCAGACTCAGTGGAGATCTACACATTGAACAAGACAAGGCATTTAAAGTTAACAACACTAAAAGACACATTTAAGAGAGTAGGACTAAAGGCATACCTTTGGTTTGAACTGACGGGCAAAGAGTAGATATCTGCGGATTTCATCTAGAGAATACAGTCTGTCCACAGACTCCTCTACACGAGAGTGCAAGTCCACAATGCGTCGCGCAATGGCATAGTCAGTCACCTGTATTAGTACAACATACTAAATATGTAGTACCTAAACAGCATTGGACTAACTAACTTCGACTAACCAAGTACCTCATTACAGTCATCCACCAGGATGAAGAACAGGTCAAAGCGGCTCATGATGGGAGCCGTCAGATTGACATTCTGCTTCAGACTCTTGCTGCGGTCGTAACGTCCACTGACTGGGTTTGCAGCAGCCAAAATAGATGTGCGAGCATTCAGAGTGGCCTTGGGAGATATTTAATTCTCATTAGAAAAAAAAAAAAGAAGAAAGATTGTTTGGTCTAAAAGGTTGTGGATAAAATGCATTACCTTGACTCCAGCTTTAGTGATGCTGATGGTCTGCTGTTCCATGGCTTCATGGATGGCCACCTGATCCTTTAGGTCCATTTTGTCGAACTCATCAATGCAGCAAACACCCTTCAAATATATAAACATTCATGTAAATGCGACTGAAATGGCTGCGAAATTGCTACATTTGAAGACTCAAACTCACATTGTCTGCAAGCATGAGGGCTCCAGCCTCGATCACAAACTCATGAGACTCTTCATCTCTAACCACAGCAGCGGTCAGACCAGCTGCACTGCTGGCTTTACCACTGGTGTACACTGCTCTGGGGCTGAACTCCTCCACATGTCTGGACATAATCAAGTAACATTTTTATACCACTGGAACAGCTATGACATAAAATAATGAATAAAATCTTTGAGCTTTATCATACTTGAGGAACTGGCTCTTTGCAGTACTTGGGTCCCCAACAATGCAGACATTGATGTCTCCTCGGAGTGAAGTGCCCTCCATAGTTGTTTTAGGAACACCTCCAAAGAGCATGAGCAGGACACCACGTTTAACCTCATCATTACCTGTTCACACAAAAAGACTGCATTAGGAATAGGACCTACTTCACTGCATAATAAACTAAATGTCAATTCACTGACCATGAATAGTGGGGAATAGACTGGTACACAGATTGTGGTAAAGATTCTTGTCTTGGCTCATTTCAAACACCTTCTCCCACTCTTTCTCTGTCATCTGACTTTTAATACTTTCAGCTGTCTGGTCCTCTTCGCGCAGCTCTTTGCCTCCAAACTATTGAAAAGGCAGGCATTAGGTTAACAAATTCATTCAATGAAAGTTTTAAGTCCAGTTATGGGACATACGCGGGGGTTAGTGGGAGCCACGTTGCAGGCAAGGAAGGCCAGTCTATAGGACAGTTCTCTTACTCCCAGTGCCTTAAGTCCCCTCAAACCCTCTGCTTCAAAGCCCTGTGGTCCACCAGCTACTCGGGTGCTTGTCTCCGCACGGACCCCTGGATGGAAAAAGTCACACGGTCTCATTATTACAACTTCCTAATTTCCATATTTATAACCCACCCCCTTTTTTAATATCAAGATGACTGGGGTTTTATGCTAACATGAGTAACAAAACATTCAAAAACATTCAGACTTATACCGTACCTTGAGTGGCAAGCTGTGAGACGTCTGGGACAACAATCAAGGTTCCAGTGAAGTCGCAACGGTCTCCAGCCTGAGCCGTCTCTACAGCCTCTGCCCTCAAAACTATTTCCAGTGAGCGTGGAATTGAACCACGGGGCAGCTCTGCTTGGGTCTCCTGAATACGAACCTGATCATAAACAAAATACATTCTGATTTAAGACTCTACTGTTCTTAGATTCCAATTAATCACCATGAAAAACAAAACTATACCTTCTGGAAATCAATAAACTTGGACTTGTGTGTGTCGAGGTGAAAACGTGCACGGTTGTTGCAGACAGGGTTTCTGCAGATGGTGGGAGGGGAATATTTAAACTGCTGTGGGACATCTTTGATCACAGCCTGGCAGTCCATGCAAATGAAGGTTCCACTCACCTGAAAAGCATTAAAATACAATATACATACAAGTTACAAAATACAAGTTTGTGTTTTTAGAACAGAATGACACAAAGTGCTTCCTATTGAAATTTAATAACTCTTACCAGTTCAGGGTGCACTGGATGCGTCCTGACTACCTGACCACTGATTCTCACCAATGATCCGATACGCATAGATGACAGTTCACGGATCCTACAATTATACAAACACACAATCATGCAAATAATGGAAAAAAAAAAAAAAAAGAGTTTAAAAGCAAGTAATGAGTAATGCCATTTACTTGTGTCTGGTTGGTAGGTCCTGAATGGCAACATAAAACTCCTTGGTCAATGGAACATTTCCATGATCCCGAGCGACATTTCGGACAGCACGGCACAAGAAGGGATACACCCTGAAAACAGACAATGATGAAGTCCCATGTACTACTGTTTGTGATAATGACACATCAAAACTGCATAACATTTGTTTGTGTATATTGGCTATGTATCTAGCCCAATACAGTGGTACACATATTTATACATTTACGTACAACTGAGTTCATGCAATTCATATTTTATTGGCCATTTGCTACCATTTTTAAGTTCTTAATCTATTGTTGAGCTACTGTGACCAAGTACAGACCATCCATTATGCTTAAAATAAACCTATTAATCTTAAAACAAAAGGAGGGGGGACAAGCCATCAAGCTATTCACTAAAATTTTTGATACATGGTGATACTTCTTTAAATGCAGAAAATTGTAAAGTTTTCTGCTTAGAAAAGCTGTTTCATTGTCCTACCTAGGACAGTGGAACAGCCGCTTACCTGTAGTACTCCTCCTGAATAGTGGTGGCCAGCTCTTGGTTGAAGCCCTCCAGATCTGTGAAGCTCACCAGCAGCGTGTTCCTCTCGGGCCGAATCAGCTCCTCCGCCTCACGGACGTATTTCGCCTCTCCGTCCACGCTCTGGTACCTGCAAAAACACAAAATGTAACTCTACGATCGTATATGATCGGTATTTGCATTATTGCACACTTGTTTCTGGGGCTTTATTTAAGAAAGGAAGAGGTCTGCTATAAAGGCCATAAGAAGTTACTTACTCTTCAAGGAAAGACTGGAATAACTTCTGACATTTCTCCGCCAACTCGTCCTTCACGAGCTCTGCGGCTGTTTCTGCGGTGGCTGTGGCTACGTCCATGTCGAAAAAAACGTGAAAGCAGTTTTAAAATGTTCAGAAAACGAGATAACAGGGCACCAATACTCCACTCCGCACCGACACACGGACAGGTCCTGACAACAGAGAACACTTTCGCGCGAAAAGACACACCACGTGACGTTTGGCGCGCCATTTTAGACCAATCGGTGACAACATGCAAATATCTCAATGTTTAGAGCCAATCAGAAGTCGTTATGTTGGATTACGTACAACGTTTCTGCATTTTCTCGTTTTCCTACGAAAAAAGATGCACATAATCCAGACACGGTGGGAAACTGGTATTATTTCCGTAACTGTACGATGTTAATTTATTGATCGCATTGAAATATGTTTTCAGTTGTGTAACGTTTGTAATATGTCACATATTTCTTCCCCCATAAGAGTCAAAAGATGACCACTAGGGGAGGATGTTTCCCAGCTGATCCTTAAAGCAGCAGGGATGTCCAGACTTGAGTTCATTCAACACGGCTATAAACATACATATAATAAATACATATATAATTTAGTGATGCTGTTATTAGTTGGGTTCTGAGCAAAGTATTTCGCCCAATGATAGGTCACACAAACATAACAAACACAACAACAAATCTTTAAATTTTTCTCACTCTCCTTTTACTTACTTTGATACCATTATAAACCATAAACTTCTGTGCTTTCTTTATTAATATTAGTTTGTGCGACCATAGAATGAAATTTATTTTTCTATATGTAAATATTTGTAAAGTTCCGTGATCAATGTATATAAGAAACTACATCATTTATGAACCTATGTCATGAACGGGGGGGTTATTGGCCCTCGCCACTAACAAAAGTTAGAGGCGAGGGGTATTGTTTCGTCGGTTTCTTAAAATTCTTATTATTCTTTTTCACCACATTGAATCGCATTTTTGACCCCCTGAACATGGACGAAAAGTCCCCAAACCGGGGACCAGATCGATCGGTCCGGCGAAAAATTCGATAAAATGGGCATCGCAACAATAACCCGAGTGACAAGACTCAACAGCGCCGCCTAGAATTGGACCCCTATGGGAGTGGGGACAGGCAAAGTTTGTCGCAGGGAAACGAAATTCGGGACAGTGATAGAGAACAATGTGACAAGACAAAAGATGAATTGGAGCATGTCTCTATGACAAACAGGAAGTCGGCCATATTGGATCAAACATTCGCCGCCGTTTTGACTTGGGCGTCTAAAAAAAAGATTCAAGTCCCCGGGGTTTAGTCCAAATGAGCTCAGATATGACATGTCACATCTACAGACATAAACTCACAGAAGTTGTCAACGTTTTTTGGGATACTCCTTACGGTTCGCCCGTAGCACGCCGGCGAAAAACGCCATCATTTCCTGTTTTTTCAGTGACCCGTCACGGCCACAGGTATTGTTCTAGAGAGCTCAATGTAATGAAAAATATGAAATTTAATAAAAGTGAACTCTATAGCGCCCCCTAGCATAGACGTGAAACGTCAACATTATCGGATTAGTACCAAATTCAGGGATTAAATTCTACACATGAATACAAGCAAAAAAGTCCATTATGGACATGATGCGTTTTCCACTACTGGCCAGCAGGGGCGCAAAGACTCCCCCAAAAAATTGTTAAAAAAATATTACACCCACAGGCTTAGTCCGAACGTGCTGAAATTTGAATCACTAATGCCTGATCACGGCCTGAATATAATACACTATAAAACATATGAAAAGTGAACTCTATAGCGCCCCCTAGCATAGACATGAAACGTCAGCATGATCAGATTTGGACCAAATTCGGGGATTAAATTCTACACATGAATACAAGCAAAAAAGTCCATTACGGACATGATGCATTTTTCACAGTTGGCCAGCAGGGCCGCAAAGATTCCCCCAAAAATATTTTAAAAATTATTACAGACACAGGCTGAGTCCGATCGTGCTGAAATTTCAATCACTAATGCCTGATCCCAGCCTGAATATAATACACTATAAAGTATATGAAAAGTGAACTCCATAGCGCCCCCTAGAATAGACATGACATGTCAACATAATTGGATTTGTACCAAATTCAGGGAATAAGTTCTATGCATGACTATGAGCAAAAAAATAAATAACGGACATGGTGCATTTTCCACTGTTGGCCAGCAGGGGGCGCAATGTCTCCAAAAAATATTTAAAGGTGCATTATGTAATTTGTCTAATGGACGAGCTGTCGGCCTGGGCGGATGTCGGGAAGAGAGGGTGACGTGCCGGGTGTGATGTATTATTAGTACGGTATCCGTAGGATTACGTCATTACGTATGTGCGTGATGTGAGCGGGAGTTGTATCGTCGTTCCTGACGTATGACATAAAGCTTTTGTTAAAATGATCTGTCTTCATGCCTCCTAAATATAACAAGGTGTCAGAAGATAACGCGAAAATAGAAAATGGCACAGTTTCAACCACCACAGAACCTGAGTTTGCATGGCAACCTAGCGGAAAATTGGAGAAACTGGATTCAACGCTTGGAAGAGAAGTCAGAAAAAGTGCAATGCGCCACATTTCTACATGTCGCAGGAGAGGAGGCGATAAAAGTAAGCAACACGTTTCACTTCGCAGAAGATGAAGAAGGCAAAATAGCGGCACTCAAGAAGAAGTTTCAAGACTATTGTGAGCCACGAAAAAACTTACCTTACATACGGCACATGTTCTTCACCAGAGCCCAGAAACAAGGTGAGACCATTGATGCATATGTCACGGATTTAAAAAACAAAGCCAAAGACTGTGAATTCGGAGCTTTACATGATTCTCTGGTGCGTGACAGAATAGTGTGCGGTATAACAATTGATCAAGTGAGAGGCAGACTGTTACGTGAAGCAGATCTGACGCTGGACAAAGCTCTGGATATATGCCGGGCCAGTGAGCTCACAAGCAGCCAAGTTAAAGCACTAACTGAAGAAGTGGAAATGAACAAGTTGAGAACAGTCAGGACAAAAGAATTCAAGAGTACACAAAAAACTGTGCAAAAAGAGACCAGTTGCAACAGATGCGGATTTAAACATGGAAAAAAACTGCCCTGCGTATGGTCAGACGTGCAATGTATGCCATAAGAAAAATCACTATGCCAAGATGTGCAGAACGCAGAGACAACGTAAACAGAATGGAAAGAAAGTTCATGCGGTGGAGCAAACTGAAAATGAAACGGAGATGTTCTTGGGGACACTCGAAGTGGAGCACAACACAAATGTTTTTGAAATGGAGTCTACAAAGACTAACCAAGCAAAAGACATATGGACTGAGAGATTTAAAATAAAGAATAAAGTTGTGACATTCAAGTTAGACACAGGCGCAGATTGCAACGCGATGTCAATCAAGACACTGGATGCGCTTGGGGCCGGTGACAAAATTCAGACGAGCAAGACGAAACTCGTTCCATTTTTTGGTCACAAGGTGGCAGCGTTGGGCAAGAAAACACTAACATGTGTACATAAAGGTCAAAAGCACAAAATTGAGTTTGAAATCACACAAGAGGATGTTTCAGCTATTCTAGGAGGGGCTACCTGCTTGAAGCTAGGCTTAGTGAAAAGACTGTATGAAGTTACAAAAGATCACAACATTTTAAAAGACTATAATGATTTGTTTGATGGGCTGGGTTGTTTACCTGGTCAGCACCACATACAGATAGACCACACAGTCACACCTGTGGTACATGGCCCTAGGAAAATACCAGTTGCACTGAGAGAAAGAGTAGTACAGGAACTACAGCGCATGGAGAAGATGGGAGTGATAGCAAGGCAGACAGAGCCAACTGAGTGGGTCAACAGTATGGTCACTGTGGTCACACCAAGGAAGATACGCATATGTATGGACCCCAAAGATATGAATCAAGCTATCAAACGTGAACACTACCCACATAGCAAAAAATATACGCGGCGGATCCGCATCGGAGTTCACTTGCACATCGCCGCGGATCAGCAACGGATCCGCCGCGATCAGCCGCGCCTCCGCCGCGGATCCGGGTTTATTTTGACGGATCCGCGGCGGAGGCGCGGCTGATCCGCTGCGTATCTCGCGGATCCGCCCAGGACCCGTTTTGGATCCGCTTTCAGAACCGGGTTATCAGCCGCGGATCTGTTTATTGTGTCGTTAGGAGCCTAAATATGCTTCAGATTTAATACTGATCCACTTCCTACTGACCTAAATACACACCAGCAGCATTTGCATTGTAATTGTACATAAACCTTTTACAGCAAGTATTAAAACTAGGATATAAAGGCTTAAATTTTAAAACATAAACTTAAACAATTTCAAAGTTGGATCAGTGATATCCTATCACTAAATCTCATTAGTTAAGAAAAAAAGAAACTTTTTTTTTTTTTTTTTTACATTGTAAACTATATTTATTTAAATCATTAATTAGAAATCTTAGGACATGAATACTTATTATTAATGTTATAGGACTTATATACCCTTTGAGTTAACCAATGCTTCATTCTTAATATGAAAATGACAATTTACAGTTTTTACTAAAAATAGTTCAAGTTAAGCAAAGTTTTTGTTTTTTTTAAATGGCAAAAAACAAATATAAGCTATATGAGTAAAAGCCTGGACAGATGAGACAGAGTGTAGCCATACCATACTGTTTAAAACTTAACTTGTGTTTACCACCACAGTACAATTAGACGGATGGTTGTTCTTATAGAGTGTGCAGTGTGGGAGCTTCAGAGCCTCTGTCTTTAGCTTCAGTCTGAGGCAGAGGTTTTGAGGCAGAGGTGCAGTGAGTCTGGCTCCTCTTCAATCCTACTGGTGAAGATCCAGTCTGTCAGTGTCCAGGACTGGGCTTCCCCTTTCTCACATCTGAAATGACACCAGTGTGTATTAAACACCCCATTACACCTCTTATTCTTGTAAGGAGTTAGAGTTCAGGTTTGTGAAGAACATTGTAAGTCATGACAGTGGCTGTGTGATTTGAACATGAAAGGTAAACACTTGATTGGAGAAATCTATGCACTTACGGAGGGTCAGTCTTTAAACTCCACCACAGCATGTTCTGAAAGAAACAATATGCACAACAACGGGTGTGATTATAATGTGCATATGTTTAGTTATGAAAGTTAATAAAAGTAGGATAATACAGTAAACTTACACAGGGTCTGTCTCTACATTTTTGGAACTTGCAGAGGGAATTTTGTAAAACATCAAATAAGAGAAACACAAATATCAGTTTGGATCATTTCAGGCCACAGTGTTTAATACAAGTGCAGTATTTACCTCCAGAGGGTCTTTATCATGCTGTTATGTCCATCTTCTTATTA